CAGCTGCTCAGCACCAAGAGAAAAAACTGGAGCATTTTGTTCAGAGTTCAGTTTAAAATGCTTCCTGCAGAGCTGCGATCAGGAAAACTAGTGGAAACAGTCGAGTCGCCGTCGTCACGCTCAGATACAGCCAAACAGAAAATGTCTCAAAACAACAGAAGAAACAAAAAGAATCTTTCTAATAAACTGGTTTGTGACGAGGATTTCAGACATTTAAACGGACTCTCCTGAGATGGTAACTGTAGTAACGGCCCCTTGCAGTCGTGGGCGGCGCACACAGCCTGGGGGGGCTCTAGAGTGGAGGAGGTGAGCCCGCCAATCAGAACTGACTGGGGTCTGTTTGTGAGGAAGTTCCAGTCTCTCTGCAGTATAGGACTGGTCAAGACTGCAGAATCAGACGGTTCTGGTTCTCCTCCAGATGGGCACCGAGTCTCAGACCTGAAATCTGAGCCTAGCAGGGGCCATGTGTTCCGTGTTAAAGACCTCCGTCTGGCTGCAGGTCTCTGGGGACCACCGCCCCCTTTGATCAGAGAGCACTGATCAGCAGCTCGGACTCTGAGCTGATCACTTAGTGTCCAGTGAAGGTCGGAGTCTCGTTCAGCTCAGCGACTCGCTGACTAACAGGACTCACCTGAACTCACCGCAGAGTGTCCTCCCTGACGAGACGTTCAGTGTCACGTTCAGGACGCGTTTTTCTAGCAATCTGTTCATTTCTTCTTTTTGCCGCCGTCGCAGTCACACGGCCGCTGCTGAGGAATCTCCCACAGGAAACGGATTTAGTTTCCTAAAGTGAAGAAAATTTCTGACAGCGTTTCAGTTTCTTTGTTTTATGGGTTATTTCCAAATCTTTCCCACAGGAAGTGGATGAAACATGGTTCGGACTTTTTCTTTCATTCCTGTTTTTTATCACGTCGGGTTTTTTTCAGGGAGCCTCTTAAAAAATGTTTGGCAGGAACCAGCGTCCCGACTCGGGTCCAGACAGCCGCCCCCCCATCAGAGACCTCACTTTGTTTCTGGCTTTACTCTTCATTAGGAAACGTGTCCGGATTTCCCTGCTTCCAGTGAAATCTGATCCCTGGTGATCAATAATTATACCGATCATAGATTTTTCTCACTGATCAGTTTCCACAGTAACTCCAGCTTCAGCCGAAGCTTAGTGTCGATATGAAGCGAAGAAATTACTGGGTCTGGGTCTGGGTGTTAGCGTCGATGGGCCGTGGTGTTTGCGACGGGCCGTGGTGTTTGCGATGGGTCCGGGTGTTGGCGTCGACGGGTCGTGGTGTTTGCGACGGGTCGTGGTGTTTGCGTTGACGGGTCCGGGTGTTTGCGTTGACGGGTCTGGGTGTTTGTGATGGGTCCTGGTGTTTGCGTTGACGGGTCTGGGTGTTTGCGATGGGTCGTGGTGTTAGCGTCGACGGGTCCGGGTGTTAGCGTCGACGGGTCCGGGTGTTAGCGTCGACGGGTCCGGGTGTTTGCGATGGGTCCAGGTGTTTGCGTTGACAGGTCCTGGTGTTTGCGATGGGTCCTGGTGTTTGCGTTGACAGGTCCTGGTGTTTGCGATGGGTCCTGGTGTTTGCGTTGACAGGTCGTGGTGTTTGCGTTGACAGGTCGTGGTGTTTGCGTTGACAGGTCGTGGTGTTTGCGTTGACAGGTCGTGGTGTTTGCGTTGACAGGTCGTGGTGTTTGCGTTGACAGGTCGTGGTGTTTGCGTTGACAGGTCGTGGTGTTTGCGTTGACAGGTCGTGGTGTTTGCGTTGACAGGTCGTGGTGTTTGCGTTGACAGGTCGTGGTGTTTGCGTTGACAGGTCGTGGTGTTTGCGTTGACAGGTCGTGGTGTTTGCGTTGACAGGTCGTGGTGTTTGCGTTGACAGGTCCTGGTGTTTGCGTTGACAGGTCGTGGTGTTTGCGTTGACAGGTCGTGGTGTTTGCGATGGGTCGACGCTCTGCAAATTTCTAAATTCTTCCATCTCACAAAGAAAATAAAGGTCAGGTGGAAACTGTGTAGAGAAGCTGAAAATTACCCGAAGCTTTTAATCCGTGTAACTAATAACAGTTCATGTTTCCTGTGGCCCACTGGATGTACTGACAGCTGTCACTTAATTAATTTGAAGTAACACACAAAAGCTGCACAAATCAGACACATTAAATATCAAAATCAATATTTTTCTGTTTTGTTTTTGAAAAACCGATGTTTGCTTTTTTGTGTTCTGTTTACCTGTTTTTCGGTTTTGAAACAAAATAATCAAAGAATGAACCATACGCAGATTCACTGTGACGGGATTCATCCTTTTAATTCCCAGCTTTATTTAACTGTAATTAAAGTTATAAAAATGGAACCAAGCAGTTTGATCCTCAGAGTTTCAGCGTTTTCTGTCTGGAGATACAGGAAGAAACACATGAACCAGCAGCTCAACACGTTTCCATGGGTCTTTATTCAGGGTCCGGCGCGTACCGGTGTAACACCAAAATCTGTGACCCAACAGATTCTGTGACTACACCCAAACGATGATGTTTTCCTAACCATAACCAAGTACTTAAACCCAACCAAACTGCAACCGCTTCACATCGTCAACAAAGCCTCTGCCGCTAAACTTACCATTTGGGTCACAGAATCTGATAGGTCACACATTTTGGTGTCACACCGGCTCTCCCCCGGGAGGTAGAAGTACACAAACAGCAGGACGGGTGCTCATGAGGGCCAAAGCATCAAACACATCCAGCGTGCGTTGTGTCAGCAGGTTAAACCCTGTTCAGATCCACTTAGCTGGTCCTCGCCGTTTCTGACCAGAGTGATTCTGGTCCCAGCTGGTCCCAGGTTCTGTTTTTAGCTGAACGTTTTTCTCACAGCGCGGTCTTGTGTTCTCCTCTGTGAGCTCACGCCGGAGCAGAAACTCTTTAATGTTGCTGTTATTCATTATGGATGACCTTCCTGCTCAGACGGCTCATGAATCATTGAGAGCCGACCAATCACAGCTGGAACCTCACTGCTGGTTCTTGTTCTACACGTCATCAGAGCCGGGACTGACTCTCCAGGTGTGGCCTCTTATCAGACTGATCTAGAATCAGATTCAGGCTCGTCATGCTGCACCCTCTGTTTCTCCTGCTCGCCTCAGAACACATGAGCTGTGATGCAGGACTCTGTCCAGATCACCTGGTCCACTACCAGCCGGCGCGCCAGCTGTTTCTGATCGTTGTATGAAATCTCTTTTTATTTCCCAGATTAAGATCCCAGTTTTCCGTCTTTATTTTACTGATTTACAGTTTTCTCACATTTATCCAGCAGAGTGTGGTGGATGAATAAACTTTCAATAAGAAAATATAATTTAATCTAATCAGTATCAATGAATATGAAGCAAATATGCATATAGAAGTATTCAAATGCATCGCTGCAGTACATTTACTGTGAACAGCCTCCACGTGCTGCTGAACACACGCTCTATACAAAGCCTGACCAGACAGAATATCTGACTCCGCCCACACAGCCACGAAGTCGTAGCCAGCTCGCGTCTCTTCAGTTTGTTGCTTGCGCGCCGACTTCGATATGGTGATGTGTGTAGGCGAGGCGCTGAGCCCCGCCCTCGGTGGAACCAGCGGCCGTAAATAACCCCAAAACACGGCGGCGTGGTTTCTGTTTGTTGGTTTAACACGGGCGGAAACGCAGATCATCATGTCTCTGCAGGAACAGACGCACCGTCGGTTTAATCAGAGTGTCAATAACCTGAGAGATGTTTTCATGCGTCAGACGTTTTCAGCTGCTTTAAAACTGATCGTCAATTTTTATTTAATTTTAGACCTTATTTTACCAGGCAAATTAATTAAGAACAGTTTTACAATAACAGCCTGGCAGGAGACAAAGGCCTCCTGTGTGAAAGTACTGGGATTAAATAAAAACATGAAACTATAGACAGAGGATGCAGGACAGCAACACGGTCCCAACAACCAACCTTAAAAGCAGGCACAAGGACACCAGATGAGAAAATAATTAAAAGACAGATAAAGAAACAAGATGATCTACAGAGAGTAAAACGAAACATGATTTTCCACCTTAAAGCTCTTAAAGGGTCAGAAAGGTGCTTGAGTTTGTTAAATACTGAAAAAGGCCACAGTGGTTTGGTTCAGCTTTATATAATCAGGAAGTACAGCGCACGCTCATTAAAGCGGCTCCAGATATTATTAGAAATCTTAGTAAGTTGAACTTTAAAGTGTTTCTAATTAAAGCCCGACTTCTTGGATATTCTGTCGTCTGTCAGTCGGCAGTCCGGCCCACAGTTCGGCCCTGTGACCCGACCTGTTGTATCTGAGCTTCCTCATGTGGTCGTCCTCCATCATCCGTCTGCTGCGACCTGCAGAGCAGAGCCGGTTCATTAGCGCTCCCCCCGGGAGGCGTCTGCACTTAATTCATCACCAAACCAGTTTCCTGCTTTCGTATCGACCGTTTGATGTGTGATGGATGTTTCGTTTCCGTCTTCACCTCTCGGGTTTATTCAGAGCGCTCTGCGGCCTGTCGAGCGGCGCCGCGGCGAGGCGAGCAGCCGGTCGCCGCTTTACGAGCGTCAGCTTTGGTCTGAATTTAAATCTGACCTACTTTTGCCATCAGAAAGCATGAATCTGTTTTTCTTCTTCCTCGGGGAGGAGGGGGGACACAGGAAACTCTGTAAGCGGACTTTTCCCCAGACGGAGGGAAGCACCGGCAGATTTACACCAGGATGAAGCTTTCAGAGCAGAAAGCCTTTTCTTTTCCTCCTCTGAGCGGCTTTGGCTGCGGCGCCGCCCTAAACTGTCAGCCTCTCCTTCTCCTCGTCCTTTTATTCATTCAGAAACCTGACACAAACTAAATCTGCCTTTTCTCTTCCACCTGAGCCGGAGCTCCTACCGGCTGCGGCGGCGGCGTGGCGGCTGCGGCGCTGCAGCTCCAGAGTTAATGGGATTATGCAGATGGCAGCGCTCTTTAAGCGCCCATTTGAAGTGTTTAATGGAGATTATGGAAATGGTCGAGCAGCTCAGACCCTCGCTCGCTCAGTGAAAAGGCGACACAATGACAAGAAAGGAGCAGAGGAGCAGCTGCTGAGTCGGGCCGGCCCGGGGAAGTCGGGGTGACGGGTCGGCCGGGTGATTGACAGCTGGATGACTCTGATGGCTCTGAGGCTCTGTGGCAGGGCGGGACTCTGAGAAACAGAGAAACTCTCTGGAAGCAGAACACGGACTTTTCACCGCTGTTCACTTTGTCTTCCTGCTGCTCGTCCAATCATCAGGCTCCAAACAATGATCCGAACATCACACTGAAAACTGTTTTTACAATCTGCTGCTTCAATTCATTAATTTCTTTATTCATTTGTTCACATATGAAAACTTTCTGAATGAATTCACTTTCAGATTTTCAGTCACATGAGATTCAGCAATCTTTGGCGGCGGTGTGAAGTCACATTCAGAGTTCACTTCCTCTCTTATTTTGACTGGCTTCTTCTCCAGTAGCAGCTGAGGCTCATGGGTATTGTAGTAGTTAGAGACAGAAGTGTAAATAATTCAGAGAGAACGTGAACCTGCCTCCGTGCGTTCAGATGGAAAAAAGCAGTAAAGAAACGCGAGCGTCTGCGATCTGAAGCAGGAAGTCACAGATTCATGAGCTTGAAGGTTTCAACTGGTTTCAAAAGATTTGATGGCAGTAAATATTTAATCTGTTGTCGTGACAATCGGGACGTAAACAGCTGAAATACTGGGTTGAAGTTAAAGAGTCATCTGACAGCATGCATGCACGTGATTGGCTAACGCAACGTCTTGCAGGACAACGTCACGTTGCAGGTTTGAGTTGGTCGGGACGCAAACTCCACGTGGACCTGAGTGTGTCGGGACGTTGGAGTTGGTCAGGACGTTGGAGTTGGTCAGGACGTTGGAGTTGGTCAGGACGTTGGAGTTGGTCAGGACGTTGGAGTTGGTCAGGACGTTTGAGTTAGTAAGGATGTTTGATTTGGTCAGGACATTGGAGTTGGAGTTAGTAAGGACGTTGGAGTTGGAGTTAGTAAGGGAGTTTGAGTTGGTCAGGACGTTGGAGTTAGTAAAGACGTTTGATTTGGTCAGGACGTTGGAGTTGGAGTTAGTAAGGACGTTGGAGTTGGAGTTAGTAAGGACGTTGGAGTTGGAGTTAGTAAGGGAGTTTGAGTTGGTCAGGACGTTGGAGTTAGTAAAGACGTTTGATTTGGTCAGGACGTTGGAGTTAGTAAAGACGTTTGATTTGGTCAGGACGTTGGAGTTGGAGTTAGTAAGGACGTTGGAGTTGGAGTTAGTAAGGACGTTGGAGTTGGAGTTAGTAAGGGAGTTTGAGTTGGTCAGGACGTTGGAGTTAGTAAAGACGTTTGATTTGGTCAGGACGTTGGAGTTAGTAAAGACGTTTGATTTGGTCAGGACGTTGGAGTTAGTAAAGACGTTTGATTTGGTCAGGACGTTGGAGTTAGTAAGGACGTTTGAGTTAGTAAGGACGTTTGAGTTAGTAAAGACGTTGGAGTTAGTAAGGACGTTGGAGTTAGTAAGGACGTTGGAGTTAGTAAGGACGTTGGAGTTAGTAAGGACGTTGGAGTTGGAGTTAGTAAGGACGTTGGAGTTGGAGTTAGTAAGGACGTTGGAGTTGGAGTTAGTAAGGGAGTTGGAGTTGGTCAGGACGTTTGAGTTGGTCAGGACGTTTGAGTTAGTAAAGACGTTTGATTTGGTCAGGACGTTTGAGTTGGAGTTAGTAAGGACGTTGGAGTTGGAGTTAGTAAGGACGTTGGAGTTAGTAAGGATGTTGGAGTTAGTAAGGACGTTGGAGTTAGTAAGGACGTTGGAGTTAGTAAGGACGTTGGAGTTAGTAAGGACGTTGGAGTTAGTAAGGGAGTTGGAGTTAGAAAAGACGTTGGAGTTAGTAAGGACGTTGGAGTTGGAGTTAGTAAGGACGTTGGAGTTAGTAAGGAAGTTGGAGTTGGAGTTAGTAAAGACGTTTGATTTGGTCAGGACGTTTGAGTTGGAGTTAGTAAGGATGTTGGAGTTAGTAAGGAAGTTGGAGTTGGAGTTAGTAAAGACGTTTGATTTGGTCAGGACGTTTGAGTTGGAGTTGGTCAGGACGTTGGAGTTGGTCAGGACGTTGGAGTTGGTCAGGACGTTTGAGTTGGAGTTAGTAAGGACGTTGGAGTTAGTAAGGACGTTGGAGTTAGTAAGGACGTTGGAGTTAGTAAGGACGTTGGAGTTAGTAAGGACGTTGGAGTTGGTCAGGACATTGGAGTTGGTCAGGACGTTTGAGTTGGAGTTGGTCAGGACGTTTGAGTTGGAGTTGGTCAGGACGTTTGAGTTGGAGTTGGTCAGGACGTTTGAGTTGGAGTTGGTCAGGACGTTTGAGTTGGAGTTGGTCAGGACGTTTGAGTTAGTAAGGACGTTGGAGTTGGTCAGGACGTTTGAGTTGGAGTTAGTAAGGAAGTTGGAGTTAGTAAGGAAGTTGGAGTTGGAGTTAGTAAAGACGTTTGATTTGGTCAGGACGTTGGAGTTGGAGTTAGTAAGGACGTTGGAGTTAGTAAGGACGTTGGAGTTAGTAAGGACGTTGGAGTTAGTAAGGACGTTGGAGTTAGTAAGGACGTTGGAGTTGGAGTTAGTAAGGACGTTGGAGTTGGTCAGGACGTTTGAGTTAGTAAGGACGTTTGAGTTGGAGTTGGTAAGGATGTTGGAGTTGGAGTTAGTAAGGACATTTGATTTGGTCAGGACGTTTGATTTGGTGGGAACAGTCTGCGACGCCACACGGACACAAACTCCACGTGGACCTGAGTGTGTCGGGTCTAAGGATACAGAAACTGTCCTGGTTTTATCTTGGCTCAACAGCACGTGTTGAAATCGATCTCTTTTTAAATGTAGTTCTGAACACACGGTTTGTTTGAAAGTCTTGGTTCTAAACCCAAACGTCCTCTAAAACCAGAACCAAACAGAACCAGCAGAGTTCCGGTTTGTTTTCATGCTGTCTGTCTTCGTGCAGGAACTCTCTTTAGTTCCGGATCTTTTCCTCTTTCTGGTTGCCTTCTTGTTGGCTCTTTCTGATTGGACGACAGAGCTTTTGATTTTTGTCTCTCCATCTTTTACTCATTCATAAAAAATGCATAATAAAAGCCTCATAATGCTGTCGAGCGGCGAGGATAAACATGGCGGCAGAAGAAAACAAGAACGCCGTCAGTTTTTCACGCTCTGATTACTGCGACGTCTTAGCGAGGTTCACATGACGGAGGCTGACTCTCACACATGTCTGCAGGTGTTTAAAGCAGCAGGCTGCTTATCTTTCAGGATTTATTCCGTTTTCTTCAGCTTCCTTCCTGCAGCTCAGCTGTTGGTCTCACTCAGTTTCAGGTTAAATTAAATGGATATCGACGGCGGTCTGCTCGTTATCCTCCAGGTAAAACATGAAACTGTTTCCTGATGCAGCTCACAGGGCAGGATCAAGGACAGTCTGGGTTTAGGGACCGTGTCGTCGGTCATTCGCGGTGCGGTCAGGTGAGCGACAGAGCTAGCAGTGAGCTACTCTGCTAGCACGTATATATACTGGCATCCGACCACCGCAGACGGTTTTCTAACGGAGCTCGCTGGCACTAGTTTTTAGCCACACAGAGCTGCTTCTTCGCCAGCTGATGATGTTTGTCCTCCAGTTCAGGAGACTGTCCTCTCCAGAAAAACGGCAGCTCGGCTCAAACCCGGACTTTCGTGTGGGTGAACGCGTTTGAGTCCCGTCTGAAACCAAGTAAATGCTGACTTATTTTCAACTTAAATAGCGTTTCTGACTTCCGTCACGTGATGTACTTACTTTAACCCAAACCACGATGTTTTCCTAAACCTCACCAAACTGAGACTGTCTCACAACCTTAACCACGTGTTTAATGTCACGTGACTTGTGTTGGGTTCGGTCAGCTGTCTCTAGACCGGTTCGGCAGCGATGAACGGCTTATTTTGGCGTTTAGGTTTGAGGACAGTTTATAATTTCTATAGAAAGTGTAAAGTCACTTTTTCTGAAGTAATGATTTAATGTGTTTTTACCCTTCGCTAAGCCACGCCCCCCTTAGTTACTGTTGCTAAGTCCGACAAACTGTTGGCGCTGCCACTGTCTATTACTGCAGAAATATTGTCAGATTTGTTGGGAATAGCGATCTCAGAAAGAAGCAGACAGTTTTGCAGTTGCATTAAACATCTGAAGGTTTTATTCAGACTGATGTGGAAAAAAAAGAAAGCGTTCGACCAGATCTTAGAAAAATAGCAGAAAAAGCTGGAAAACGACTCTTTTTGCATCAGAGTCAATGGAGCGCAGCTGTGGACCTCAGTTAGAGACAATACTATACTGTGCTGTGATTGGCCAGCTGAGTATTCGGGGCGTGGCTTAGCGAAGGGTCAATTTTAGTTTCAGAACACTTAGTTTGTCCCTGAAGGCCAAATGCAGGGGCCCGTAGAGTAAGACCCCGTAGATTTGGCCCCGTAGATTAAGACCCCGTAGATTTGGCCCCGTAGATTAAGACCCCGTAGATTTGGCCCCGTAGATTAGACCTCGTAGATTTGGCCCCGTAGATTAGACCTCGTAGATTTGGCCCCGTAGATTAGACCTCGTAGATTTGGCCCCGTAGATTAGACCCCGTAGATTTGGCCCCGTAGATTAGACCTCGTAGATTTGGCCCCGTAGATTAGACCTCGTAGATTTGGCCCCGTAGATTAGACCCCGTAGATTTGGCCCCGTAGATTAGACCCCGTAGATTTGGCCCCGTAGATTAAGACCCCGTAGATTTGGCCCCGTAGATTAAGACCCCGTAGATTTGGCCCCGTAGATTAGACCCCGTAGATTTGGCCCCGTAGATTAGACCCCGTAGATTAGACCCCGTAGATTTGGCCCCGTAGATTAGACCCCGTAGATTTGGCCCCGTAGATTAGACCTCGTAGATTTGGCCCCGTAGATTAGACCTCGTAGATTTGGCCCCGTAGATTAGACCCCGTAGATTTGGCCCCGTAGATTAGACCCCGTAGATTTGGCCCCGTAGATTAGTACAAGTGAAACTGAGAAACATGATCGTTTAGCTAACGTTGTTCTGATGAGCTGGAAGAAAGAGGAGAGGAGACACTGTGGGAAAGGATGCGAGGAATCAAGGGGAAGGAAAGGAAACAGGATGAGACATGTTTGGCCCCCCGGTTACTGTGATCCCTGCTCTCTGATTGGCTCACAGTGTGGGAGCTCTGGGATTGGCTGATGGTCTGCAGGCTGTCTCGCAGCAGCCAGTAATAATTGATGTGTGTTTTCCATAAATAAAAACCTTCTGCAGCGTTCGTCACACTTCTTTCTTCTCCTCCATATTGTCCTTCTTTTCTTTGTTTCCTCTCCACCCTTTTCCTTGCTTCCTTTGCTTCTTACTCTCTCCTTTTGTGTCCTTGTTTCCTTTCCTCCTCGTCCCTTCTGTCTCTGAACATCCTCCTTGACGTACCTGGAGACAAGTTTGTGACAGGACGGCTTTAAATTAAAGCCGGTGGTTCAGCCCACATGCAGGGTTCCTACGTGACCTGGAAAACCTGGAAAACTCAATGAAAGAACAAATAAAGTGTCCTGGAAAATGATTTCAGCATCCTCCTGTATTGGGGTGGGAGTGAACCACCGGTACTTTTTTACTTTGCTAGCGCCGTCTCTTCAGACGCAGTGCTGCACTGTGATGGTCCTCGTTAAAGACTCGTTGTTACCAGTAAAGACGCTGAAGGACCGGCGGTAAACGAGTCTGTGGTCGTTAATAATCCTCGCTAACTCACCTGACTCTGACTCGTCCTTTCAGGTATTTAAAGTTCAGTTGTCAGACTTGAAAAAACAGAAATGATGATGACGATGAATATTCAGAGGGGGATGTGTCTACTTCCTGGACAGACAGGTGTTCATGAGGAAAGCAGCTGTCCTCCCTCCCTCCTTCCCTCCCTCCTTCCTTCCTTCGTCCCCTCGCGGACTCTAACCTTCACCTCGAACCAGCTCAGGGCTCCTTGGAGGATGTTGCCACGGCGACGTCTTCCCTGGCTGCTGTGGCGATGAGCTATGACAGGAAAGGAGGTGACGAGAGTTCAGGGATCTTTCCTGCGTCTGTCTCTCTCTCTCTGCTCTTCTTCCCTCTCAGGGCCTGTGTACCTGCTCAGAGCCCTGAGGCATGCTGGGAGCTGTAGTTCTCTCTCAGCAGTGTAATGACCTGGTGTGCAGGCTCATTACCTCCTGTTAAACTGCAGGACGCCGAGTCAGCAGCGATCATGGCGACGTGACGGCAGGAGCTGAACACAACCACAGGTCAGCTGTTTCACCGAGGGGCTGCAGCTAACCGTTATCGTCTCTGTCCGTTAACCTGTTATTTTCTTGATGGATCGATTAGTTGTTTAGTTTCTATAAACTGCAGCTCATCTTATTGAAGTTCACCTTGTAAAATATCGATCAGTGTTTCCCAAATATTTTCAGTTCACCGTCACAGAGGAGGAAAGAAACCAGGAAGTGTTCATGTTTAAGAACGTTTCTTTAATAATAACTCAAAGAGAATAATCCATCATCAAAGTAGCGTCGACTTTAGCACGCTGGTCTGAGTTCAGCGGTACCAGCGGCCTGAAGCTGACCCATGTAGATCTGATTCTGACCCCGAACCTGGCCAGAGCCGGCTCACCTGCGGGCCTCCGGTCCCAGAACACAGCCGAGTGCCGACGGGGTCACTTTGCTGTGATGATACTTCTGTGGCACAAAGAGGATTTAAAGTCTGAGCAGAACGCGGTCCGTTATTTTAGGCAGACATGATGAACTACTCCACATGCTGAAAGTCACTTTCCAACGCCAACGACTCTGAGATCAAACGGGAGTCTAAAGAGGGGATTTAATGACCCTCAGTATCTGTGCCGGTTCTGATGGACCTGTTTCTGAGCAGCAGGAGTGACTCTCGGCTCCAAACATCTCTCAGCTGCTCGTTTTAGCATTTTTCATGAATACCAAAGGAGCTCCTGTGATCGCATGAATATCAGACCAACACACGGCTCCTGTCCGGCTCCTCTTCTTCTTCTCTCAGCTGATTACTGCAGCAGGAGGCTTTACCCATGATGCCCCTGGAGAGGCGTTTACCGTCCCAGGAGCAGCTTTAAACGGACGCTGCTGATTTCTGCTCGGTAAATCTGCCCTCGGTAATGACAGTTTTTCTACTCGTTGCTCAGAGCTCCAGCGTGGCGTCGAGCGCTTCCTTTAGCGAGCTTCGAGGCCGGGTGAAGCGTTTCAGAGCTGCCGCGTTCCTCCTGCGTGTTTAGCTTCTTCTTTGGTGGTTTAAAAGTCTGTATTTCATTTAGTTCCCGCTGACGTCAGCTTCTCCTTACAGTTTTATTAAAATGTGTCTGACCCTGTTCACTTCATGTATCCTTCCTCCATCTGAGGTAGACTTCTGTCAGACTCGTCAAACCACCCGTTCCCTTCCCGTTCCCCGCCGCCCCCCTCTGCTGGACCCCGGCCCCTCAGTCTAGATTTTGGTGCTCAGCGGGGACGGGCTGCGGAAGCGAGTGCGTCCTGGGGTTTATGGTGTCCCCGCTGGAGTCTGCGGGACGTCTGTGGACCCAGAGCTGCTTTATTTCGTGTTGTTAAAGGAAGAACAGCATGTTGTTTATGTTTAGTTTCAGAAGAAGGAAAGAAATGATTCACTCTTCAGTAAAACGGGTTCTGGACTCCCCGATCAAAGATAGGCGCCACGGGACAGTCGGCGTTCTCCGTCACCTCTGTTTTCTGTCTCTGTGTTTGAACATCGCTCATTTTCATTCAGGTCTTTAAGGACAGCTCAGACCTGCAGCTCCCATCATGCCTCACCTCAGGACGGCGTGGGCGGAGTCATGTTGTCAGGTCAGAGAAAATCACTTCAGTCTTCAATGAATACATAAACAGGCCCCCCGTCTGCTCGCGCTCTCTCTGTCCTCCCATGATGCCTTGCAGTGCTGTATTCACTGTGTTTAAATCTGAGCGGCGCCTGCGGAGCCCATTTTCCCTCCGGAGCCGACCCCATACGGCATCCTTCCGCCCCCCCTGCTGCATGCTGGGAACACACCTTCATGTTGTCATTCATCAGCTGTCGTCGTCCTCTGCACAAAGGGAAACCTTCATCCTCCTCGTCCTCGCTGCCGACCCCGAGCTCAGAGTCGGCGCTGGTTGACATTTCTTTAACAGCGTCCACAGCAGAAGGAGAAGCTGCAAGGTTCTTCTGTCATGTGAGTTAAGTCACGTGACCTACGTTATGTACTTATTTCAACCCAAAGCGGGAAGGTCTGTTGCCTAAACCTGACCAGTCTGTGACATTTCATGGCCTTACCCATGTTATTAACATCACATGACTTAGGGCCCCGTACTTTCCTACAGTCATACATGTGCTGGTGAAATGAGTCCGCTCATCACTCAGATCTGCACCATGTGGAAAATAAAAAGTCTGCGACCTTCATGAGACTGAAAACAGCTCAGAGCTGCAGAGAAGCTGATGGATTTACAGACACAACCGGCTTTAACGTTTGCTTCCTGTCTGAGCTCACTGGGTCCAGTGGCCTGCACCACGAGGGGCGTTACCTGAGGGTGACAAACTCTGACCGCTACGCTGGAGTTAAACTGCGGCGGTGGATCAGACGTTGGTTAGCTGAGTCGGCGTTAACTTATTTGGAGTTGGTTCGGCCGCGCAGGCAGAGTTTTTCACAGCGGCGCGTGCTCCGTATTCCTCCAGAGGAACGCACGTTGGCAGTGTCGGGAAATTATGACTGTAAAGACGAGTTAACTCTAAATCTAATATCGTGGCGGCCGACAGAGCCAGGGAGGCTTGTTGGCGTCGCATGGAGTGAATCTGTAGCCTGAATATCTTCAGGGTTCTGATTGTAGTTCAAATCTCTATTCTGTGTTTTATGGGCTCTTCTTTTATGTGTAACGTGATGAAGATGTAAAAGTCCAGCTGCACACGAGGGGGAATAATCCCAGACAGAAAATAATTTCCAAGATTAATCTACAAGTGAAGAACCTGAATATTCTCTGAGATTATAGTCACACATTTATGAGAGAAACTTCTGCAGGCAGTGGAAAGTTATATTAGACTTCACAATCTGATCCAGCAGTGAGGAAATACTCGTGAGTTTAGCCCACAGTCACTATCCTGCACCTCAGACTTCACCGTGGATCGGCCGTATTCAGAAGGAAACTCCAGAGGGATTCTCGATTTTTGTGACTTTAATTTCAGGGATTTTAAATTTCACACTTTCATGGAGGATTTTTCCCCTCGTTATTAAGCCCGACCCTGGCTCTGTATTTTTTGGACAGGTAAAACAGTCTAAATATCTAAATATGTGAAACCACGCAGACGGGCTCCATCTAAGAAACTGTGCCGTTAATTAAGATTCCTCTCTAACTCCCCGAGGCTGCAGGGCTCGCTGTGTGAACGTGATGCTGCTGTGTTCACAACTTCACTGCAGCCTCAGAGGAACAAATCAGGTGTGGATTAATATCCTGCTTCTCATCAGTAACACTGAGTACAGATGTGGTGTGGAGTCCACGTGCAGGGGAACCTCGAGGTAACCACCAACAAAACCTGCTCGGAGCAGTTTAGAGATGCGGCGTAAATTGCCATGGCAACAGACCTCGGTTATCCATCTTTCGTAGTGCGGGTTAATCAGGAAGTTACACCTGAAGTTACCTGGATAAGCCAGTTAGCTCGCTTCGCAGTACAGACCGCAGGACTTCCTTCTAACAGTCTGATGCTGTTGTAGTTTATAAAGTGAACTGCAGTGATGACCTGAACTCTGAGTGGAGCCTGAAGGTGACGATGACCTCCAGGTCCATTTCTGTAGATGTTCGTCGTCACCAGAGGATGAATCTGAGTCTGTGACTAAAAGTTAAAACTCAGGAAACGTGATTCACTGCGACTGCAAAGGTCTCTTTAATACGAGTCAGTGCAGACACTCAAGATCAACACCGGCGTGAGACTTTGCCTTTCAAAGGCACCGAATGTTCGGCCACGGAAATTGATCAGCTGAAAATAGCATAAAAAACACTTTGTGTTCGGCCTAATGAGTCAAAAGACCGAATAAATTTTACCGAACAGTCACGTTGCCATGACGGCAGCGTGGAAGCATTTTAAATTGTTCTGCTGAACTGAACTGTCTCCAGCACATCCGCTCCATCTGTGGCTGACTTCTTAGAAAAGAACCGCTTTGAGTGTTTCTGTCTCTCGTCTGTGAGAAGGAGGTGAAACTAGCCCCGCCTACATTTGGAGTGCACACGTATTCCAGCCTTTACGGTAAGTGAAGCGGCCCAGAGCGAGCTGACAGGCAGGTTAGAGACTTTATCCTGTCAGTTTGTCTCTTTAGTATGAAGAGAGGCTGTGAAGTCTTCATGTTACAACATTATTTATCAAACCGGGTCGGACTGGATGGATTTAGCACGAGGAGGAAACACATGTGACAACGTCCGGTTTTCAAAATAAGGCGTCTGTACAGGATGGAAATAAGATTAATAGGATTATATTCACAAAGTATAAAACATGTTACAAGAGTCCATTAAAAGTAAATGGACTCATGTAATTTACTTTACGGGAGCCTCTCCGGCCCCGGACCCCCTCGGGCCCCGAACACCCCCACCATAGTCTCTCCACATCCTGTGGGAAACACTGAGGAAAAAGCTCATTTTGACTATTTAATTTATAAAATGGTAAAGGCAAATTGGAGTTTGGTGTTTTTCATCATATTGGGTTTCAGCCGAGTTCAGCAGAACTTCTCGGGCTGGCTGTACGTCCAGAGGTTGATCAACAAACCGCTCCAGCGCGAACGTCCGAGCTGCTTTTTAAATTTCTGTTTCTGCACAAACGTTTTCTCACACCTGCAGGCCGGGGCGTCTCCACCGAACGTTTATTATTCTATACGTGTTTATTATAAATGATAAAGTCGTTCTAACGCTGCACATTTTACCTTCATCCAAAAGCTGCCCCTTCTGTGATTTGGGTAATATTTCAGTTAACAGTGCGGCCGTCTCTCCGTGTGGGAGCCAGATGGCGACGCCACGGAGACACACATGTTCTGTTAGGGAGAGGCCGGCGTCCCCTGAGACCCCCCCCCCCCACACACACACACACTCTGACTGTCCGGAGGTGAAGCCTCAGACCTCCCTGCTGTAATTATCTGTCATCAGGGAGCCCCCCCCCCCCTCCCCCGTTAGGTCATCTTAATTAGTCCCATATTAATCAACCCCCCCCGCCCGACTAATCACAGCAGGTTCTGGTGACCAGCGGGGCCGAACAATTAGTGTTTCTGTTAGTGTTTGGACAGGAAACACACACAGTTAATTAATTACTGTAACCGACATCACGGCCCCTCGTTAGGAGGAAATAACCGCTCAGCTGCAGCAACAAAAGCAGCGTCGGACAACTGATGAATGAATCTAAATCTGTTTTGCAGATATTTTTCAGCCGCATAAAGTTACATTAACGTACATTTTAGATGCGGTACACTGTGAGGTGATTAAACGATGCTCTTATTGTGACGGTCTGAGAGCCTTCCTGGTCCTGTTCTGTTCTCGTTATACACCAGGCCGGGACAGTGAGCTCAACAGGGTGCAAACAAAGTCTAAATTTCTATACAGGCAAAGGGACAGACAGGTGTTACAGGAGAATAAAAAAAGGAAAATTAAACACCCAACAACCCTGCACCACACACGTATATATTAAATATCTATAAAAAGAAAACTCAACGTGCTTTACAGGGACAAAAAATATATATTATATTTACAATTTAAGTACAAAACTACCGGCAAGAGATAAAAAAACGTTTAACCAGTGCAAAGTGTAAATTAAATGAAAAGAAAAGATAAAACAACATTTAAATGCCCAATTTAATGAAATAAAGAACAACTTAATAATAATAATAATGCTATTTAAAAGCTCAGATTCAGCCGTCCCTTGGAGGAGCAGGGACCGGGAGAGACTGTGTTCATGATGACAGACTGCTGCTCCGCCGGGTTTGGTTCTGACTCCCAGAAGTCCTCGGGGCTCTCAGGGGTTTGTATGGCACAAGACTATCGGAGAGATATTTTGAGCCACGGAGTGATTTGCAGTCCAGCGAGATTCTGTAACAGAATCTGTGTTTGTAAATAAACCACATTCAAAACCTCATTGACATTTATGGTAATTTAAGGCTCCACTCACACAAACAGGAACGAGTGGAGTGATCACCAAGACCTGCTCCTAAACACACTAGGATCCTGGTCCTGATTATATTTAGGATCTGATGTTCCAGCAGACGAAGTTAGAGTCTGGATCCAGGATTTGACTTTTCTGTCTGTATTTGGAGCACCATGAAGTGTTTCCCTGCAGCCCGTCACATTTATTGATCTAAGAATATGTTGGATATAAAACCATTAGCAGCATGTTGAACCCTGTCCCAGAGGCCAGACAGGAAGTGATGTCAGCACAGTCTATTGATCCTCCATCGGTTTGTTGATCACCTCAGTTATTTTTGTGTTTCTGGCTGTATACTTTCTGTACTGTGTGCTGTCTGTGTACTCTGTGTACTGGCTGTCCTCTGTGTGTCCTTGCTGTCGTGTCCTCATCACACTCTGAACACGAGTCTCCTCTTCATTAATTCTGTCCCATGCCCCCCCCCTCCCGGCCACTGATTGGCTGCTGGGGGACCCGCTGTGGTAAGACGCCACATTTATACGGGCCGGTTTCTGACAAACAGGCAGCAGCGGGGACACTAATGAACTCAGAGGAGATTAGAGAGCTCAGAGGGTTCCTGACAACAGGAAGGCCGAGTTTGGACCAACAGAGCTCCCACAATGCACTGCGGCCGAGGACGGCGTTCAGCGAACACGTCAATATTTATTCATAAATAATAATGGGAACGTGAAAAATCAGATGAATGTTTCATCATTTATGGGAGAAGTTCAAAGCAGGCCGGAGTGTTTCACAGGCCGACGCTCATGTTGCATTCAGGGTCTCCTCTCTCATGCTGAGGCCCGTGTTGCATTCAGGGTCTCGTCTCTCACGCTGAGGCTTGTGTTGCATTCAGGGTCTCCTCTCTCTCGCTGAGGCTCGTGTTGCTTTCAGGGACTTCTGTCTCACTCTGAGGATCGTGTTGCCTTCGGGCTCTCCTTTCCTTTTGTTTAGTTTAATTTGTTCAGATTCTCTCGGCT